CATATTACCCTTTTATTATATAGGATAGAGGGGAGGAGGAGTTGTCACCCTAAAATATGCCTCTTTGGCATAAGGATTATTTTAGGCTGATTATTTTTAAGCAACAGCAAATAGAAAAAGCTCTGACAACTGACTAGAAGTTACCTTTTTTAAAGAGATATTTGCATAAGGGAAATGTAATGGTGCATCAAGAATGACTCTAAATCTCTAAAAACTTATCAGTGGAGGAGGCAAGAACTTAAATCTGCATAACAACCTTACCCTTGTTTACTGTGCTTTTCCTGGTCACCTCCCTCAACTGGCTCCCCACCCCACCCAAGCATCTTTTGTCCTTAGCTGACGATGGCATCTAAGGTGATGGCTTTGGCCATTTTGGGGAGTTACCCAGTTTTCCTGGGGTCTTTCCCATGTATAAGGAGGTACTGGTATATACATGATTAAACTTTTGTTGGTTTTCCTACTGTTGGTCTCTCTTTCTCTCTCTCTCTCTCCCTCTTTCTCTCTCTCTCTCATTAATCCTAACCACTGGTCCACAGGCCAACGCTCTAACCACTGAGCCCCAGCCTGGGCTATCTCTCTTTTTATTACAGAGGTCTTAGCCAAGAACTTAGAAGGATAGAGGAAAAAATACTTTTCCTCCCCTCAAGTGTTAATGTGTGTCTATGCATTCACCTGCCTCTAGCAGCTCCTTATGAAAGGTTAAGTGGTTGTGAAACCACATGCTTTGGAGAATCCAAGCAGCTGTTTAAACTCTTGAACAAGTAGTGGTGCCTTGTGGCTTGCCTCTGATGAGTTGCAGAGGCAGCTGAGGGTGGGCTGTCTTTGACCATCTGCAGGTTTTAATATGCTCCGCCGATCTCATGCCAACCTGGCTTGCCAGAGTTGAGGTCACTGTACTCTGAGACATTTCGGGATGATGCTCAAGAGAGCTGTGCTCTGCAGCCTCCTGGGCCCTCCTGCAGGTGCACTGGCTTTTTTCAGTTTGATGCTGTTTTTCTTACCCTTTATAGCAGTGGTTCTCAACCTTGGCTGCACATTAGAATCACCTGGGAATCTTTTTAAAATTCTGATTTCTGGGTCTCATCCTCCGGAAATTCTGTTTCTTTGTTACTAATGATGAGGCCCAGAAATCAGGATTTTAAAAAGATTCCCAGGTGATTCTAATGTGCAGCCAAGGTTGAGAACCACTGCAGTCTATAGACACTCGCAGCAGAACTATTATTACTTGCTTGTTACTGCATGTTGCTGATTCATGCTCAGAGGAAAAAGACATTTTGTCTTTCACACTCTCTCCTGTCATTTAAGGCCTATGTTAACGAATGATGGATTTTGGCATCCATTCTTCCCTGTAGCTTTGAGGCCACAATATCGATTCATTATAAATGAAGATGAAACTGTTACTTTAGTTCTATCCATATTTATAACTACACCAAAGCTATCCTGCTGGTACCTTTGTGCCTCTCAAATCTCAAACCATATTCCAAGAAATGCTCAATATTTTATGCTTGAATTGGCATTAATGTACAGACAATGTTTTAAATAAAGATGTTTTCACTCATATTTTATACCGACACTCCATGAATTCACATAGATTAGATTATGCTAGAGCCGAATCTGTTTGAAGGCTTCCCCTCCCCTGGCTGCACAGACTAATTTTTTTCTTTAAGTGAGGAGGACGCAAGTCCTGGGTGCTCTGCTTACCCGGACGGAAGCCAAGTATAAGGCTGAAGTGGGTGGGGCAAGAGAATTAAAAATACAGAATGCGTAAAAGAACTAATAGATGGCTTTTGCTTTGTCATTCCTCCTGGTTCCTTTTATTCCCTTCCTTCCCAGTTTGTTACTGTGGGCAAGTGTAACCTACTTATTTCATAGACTCACTGGAGCTAGAATGAGCTGTAGTAACCTTGAAGGTCATCTGATCCAAACTCCCATCCATTGTTAAAATTCCCCGTTTTATTCAGAAACTCGCTTTCTTCTCCAGCAGCTTTCTGAGCAGCATTCGAGCCTTTCAATTAAAAGTGCACTGATGAGAGCAGAGGTTTGGAATCAAACAGTTCTAGGTACAAACTGTGGCTATCACTGACATCTCAGAGTCCTGTCTCATCGGTTAAATAGTTACAGTAAAGCTAATTCGTAGGAGCTTGAGGGTTAAATGAAGTAAATAGAAGTGTAGTATATAAAAAACAAAACAGTACAGAGATAAATTAAGGGTAGCTGAACAGTTCAATAGAAACTAGGACCCACACTTCCTGTCTGATGCGAGGCCATACTTTTCCACAGCATTCTCACAAGGTCTCATAAAGCCACTGAAAAAGTTTCTGATGCTGGAGTGCTCAGTGTGCTGCCCGGTAGACCGTAAATGCTTTTATTAATAACAATACCTCACATATATTCAGGGTTTTAGAATTCACAGTGCGCTTTCACAAGTGGGGGGAAATAGCCACGCCAACAGGTCTACTGATGACTAAGAGGCAGGAAACAGAGGAGCAGAAGGTCTGAAAGGTCTATTAGCGATGCAAAAGTGAAGTAACCTGCACTGGTGAGGAGCTTAATAAACATTAAAACCAATTAGAAGTTGCAATGCGAGACACATTCAGGCTTCAGATCTTGGCCTTGATGAGTCCGAAAATCATAACAACACAGCATAGGGGCTTGGGGGCAAGAATTTAAGCGACCTGAAGCTTAACCGTCTAAATCAGTGGTTCTCAACCTTCTGGCCCTTTAAATACAGGTCCTCATGTTGTGACCCAACCATAAAGTTATTTTCGTTGCTACTTCATAACTGTAATGTTGCTACTGTTATGAATCGTCATGTAAATATCTGATATGCAGGATAGTCTTAGGTGACCCCTGTGAAAGGGTCGTTCGGCCGCCAAAGGGGTTGCGATCCACAGGTTGAGAACTGCTGGTCTAAATGGTTCAGATGTCCAGGAGGGCAGCTCTCTGCATATGGATGAATTTTCACATAGAAACCAGAGTACAGCAAAAATTCAGACTGCATAATGGTAGAACCCTCAGTGCGTTCATAGTTTAGAGACAAAGCATATGGAACTGAGACAAACAGCAAATAAGCTCTCAGAAATCACCATTAACTGGGTGTTTCAATCTGACAAATGTGTCATGCTGCATGCAAAACTTTTAAAAATAGAAACTGTTACCTTGGCTTTTCTCACAACCCTCTCAAACAGTTCTTCACGTGTGTGAGAATTTTTACATTTGGAAAATGCTCAAAAGAATTTTTAGAAATGGAAAAAAATGGAAGGTGCATTTTCTTTTTTTTTTTCTTTTTTCTTTTAAATATATTTTATTGATTTTTTACAGAGAGGAAGGGAGAGGAATAGACAGTTAGAAACATCGAAGAGAGAAACACTGATCAGCTGCCTCCTGCACACCCCCCACCGGGGATGTGCCCGCAACCAAGGTACATGCCCTTGACCGGAATCGAACCCGGGACCCTTGAGTCCGCAAGCCGACGCTCTATCCACTGAGCCAAACCGGTGCTGGCGGTGCATTTTCAATATAGCATATTTCACTGTTTCTGTAGCCTAAGAAGATGAAAGAACATATCTTTTTCTGTAGAAAGAAAATGGGGAAAAAGAAAATGGACCTCTCAAAATCTAGCTCCTTCAGAAGATGGATTTTTAAATATCAAACTCTGTCTAAAGGGCAAAATAAAAATTTCATGCAATTAGCAAATAGCTTAAATTAATACCCAAACAGGAACATTTGTAACACTTCATGATTTTGTTAATACCTATAGGCAATATTCAAAATCAGGGCTTTCTCTTTTTTTCTTCCTCTGCCCAAAAATCTACATTTCTAGCAATACGCAAGCCGACTTATATCCTTTTTGAGGCAAAATAGGGGGTTGATTCAGGTCAGAAGACTGACCAACAAACTTAAGACACTGGTAGAAATGGCCCTACTGAGCCATTACGTGGAATAGGAGGTCTATGCTAGACAGAGCTCAAAAGAGGACAGTTTGTGTCTCACAGTCCAAATTCGGTTGCTGTTATTTTGAAGCTTCTAAAGGTTAACTAAATGCTGTAATATACTATAGAAAGACACGAAGCTGAATTTTACTGCGCCAGTCAAGAGGCAGGCTTGAATCTGCTATTTAGGACTGAGAGAGACGGTACAATTTACATGTGTGAGAATGTGAGAATAATTTCACCTTCTGTTGTTTTTAAAACCACCTTTGGGCCATGATTTTGAAATTGAGAAACAAGATCTGCTGGGGTTTCCATAGCAACATTAACTTATCTAACTTTCCTTGTTGTATGTAATACTTTCATTACTAGCTTGGCTAGTAAATGTACCCTTTAATTATGAAAGACGACCAAGTTAGGAGTCTCGGGCAAATTTTAACTTTTACATTTACTGACATGCATGTTTAAACAAACCTGGATATTGTACTTCTGAAGACTTGCTACCAAGGCAAGTGTGTACAAAAACCTTTCTGTGGTCTTTCTTGCTCCTCATCTCTGTATTCCATTCTTTAGATGATCCCTCAGCCAATCTCTCTAGATACATTTATAACATGCCATGACTAGGATAAAACAGAAACAAACCAACCTCAGATGGCTCCAGTCCGGGGACTAGACCCCGATGTGTCCTCCATTCTAGTCTGTCTAGAAGATGACCCTCTCCCTATCTTTTCTCCACTATTCATCATCATGAATGTCCTGCACCAAATATGTTTTCTCACCATCTTGAGAGCGTACATTCAAGGACCCCCTCCGAGAACCCTGACTCTTCCCCCTTCCTTCCCACAAAGATCTTTCAGAACCACTATTACTACTGTGACCATCACCATGTGACACCCTGTTTGTGACTGGGCAGCACCCTTCCCCTATTATTAAAAAAAATAATATTGTCTTGATTTTCCTTTGAGGAACTTTCCTCCATTCTATACTTTCTGGTGTCACCATCAATGAAGCTGCCCTGCCCCAGCCTATTGAGAGGTAATCCGTGACCTAAGTGGACCAATCACATTCTCCCAGGAAGTTGAATTTTAAGTAAATTAAAAAAGGAAAAATAGTGGGGATTGAATTATTGCAATGGTGGTCCTTTGAAGAGACTGTCCATTTCTCCCAGATTTCTGTGACTCCTCATCAATGTCCACTAGCTATTAAGCTCCCTACTTGAGTACTTGATCATATATTATCTTTAATCTTGATTTAGAGGCTTGCAATGTGCACGTTTTGCTTTGCCAGCTAGATAATATTGATGCTCTCTGAAAACAGGGCTGGGTCTTTATTTATTGTATTATTCCAGATAATTCAGCACAATATAAGTACTTAGTAACAAATAATAATAAAAAAAAAACAATCTTAGAAACTCTGTAAGTACCTAGTAACAAATGAAAGACCAATCTTAGAAATTCTATTCTATTAATGTGCAGTACACAAGCTGACTTATATCCTTTTTGAGGCACGGTGGTAAATAAATTTTTAATTGCTACAACTTAAGAATTTTCTTGGATATAAATAGTTGTCTTAAGAACTTAAAATGACTTGAACACCTAATGGTCTGAAAATAATTTTAGCATGGGTCATAATTCCCCAATTTTAGAAAAGGAAAGAGAAACTGAAATTCTCTTTCAGACATTAGTCTCTGAATTAAAAAAAAAAGTTTTTGGGAAATAAGACAACAAAACAATAAAAACAACACACCTTTGTCTTGGGCTTGTGATTTTCCCTGGAAACAAGGTGAGCTGCCTGTCCGCTACCAGATAACACAGGAGGGAGTTGAACTGTGTTTGACTAATATATAAACAGCATAGGTGATTTTCTCCTCTTCTGAAAAATGGAAGGTCATGGCTTCCCAGAATCATGACTTATGACAGTAATTAAATTGCATGCTTACAAAATTCAAACAAGCTTGCTCATATTAAGTTTTGAAAACACAGGCTAAGGTGCTCTCTTCCAAACCACTTACACGTGCTTACAGTACACCAAAGAGCTCGCCCACAATAAACAGCAGAATATATACATTCTCTTCTTCTGTCTTTTCATAAATATAAAATTTATATAAATCTCTGAATAGTGTGGTCCTCTGGTTTGCACCTCAACATGGTACAGAGTTCAGCTATGCGAAAGGAGTGCAAATGCTGATGTGGAGCTTTTTTGAGTCAAGTGTAATGGTTTCTGGAATTTGCCTTGAACCCATACTCGGTGCATTTTCACTTGTTTTTTCCTATTAACTTGTAAGCGGCGATCAATCAGATTTTGCTTCTCGTCTAACCCAGCCTTGCAGAACACACTGTGGACTTCCCCTGTGAGACAAAAATAGCAATCAAATGTGTGACATATGACTGGGGAGGGGGAGGTGGCAGTAAGAGACATGGAACATTAAATGAAATGATTGACCATCTAAATTTCATTTTTACTAACAAATACTCAATACAAAACAATGAAGGGAACGTGAAACTAAGTGGGTTTCTTCCACTTCACCCAAACACACCAAGTATAAACAGGCTAGCACAGCAAGCATAGATCTACAACATTATTGGTGACAGCTTTCAATATTTTGAAAGGTGCCCCCTGTTTGAGTTTTTATTGGTTTGCAGAGATCCCAAATGACACTTTATAATACTATTCACATAAGTTTGGGGAAAGTCCTTGAGCACAGGATTCATTTTCAATACTTTTTTAAAATGAGAAAGTGACAAGAGCTAGGTAATTTTCTAGGGACTCTTAAAATCATACTCCTGCCTCTGCTGTGGCCTACCATCAAGTTTTTTCATATCTGGACAAACAGTACCTCTGAAATGGAACAGACTATCCCTTCATTTGGGTATAAGGATGGAACAAGTGATTATTTAAAGCAGTTTCCACTGGAGAAAGATTAGAAGGCAAAAAGGCCATTTTCAAGCTGTTATGTAGAACAGTTGTCACCAAAGTGTGAAGATATCCAATGTTTAATCAAGCATTAAAGCCTCATTTTTAGAGCTTCTGAATTTTCTCTCTGTAAACAATAACCAAAATTATTTTTTACACCTAATTATTTCTTCTTATAGATAAGTATACCTTTTGTAAAGAAATATGCCCGGGTACCATCTCCTCGAACATAAAAATTTTCAGATAAACAGTGCCCTGAAAAAAAAATAATTATGAGAAGAGAAATTTAGTATTTCTTTAAAAAAAATCTTGACATGAAATATAAATGAGGCATTCTTTGAAACACGTGAAAATAATCTGAGACTGAATATACTATTACCCCTTTTGAAACGAAGCTGAGTCTTATCATATCTTCCATAGTCCCGAAATAACAGCATCCCCCCAGGTTTCAGTAACTTGGACAATCGGTTTACAACACCTTGCATCCTTTGAAAACAAAGCAAGATACGGTTTGCAGAAATCTTTCATATACCAAATGTTAATTTCTTAAAGATAAAATAAGAAAAGTTTGATAAGGCCCAAGAAACCTAAACCACAAAAATAAGAGCAACAAAGACAAAAAATATTTTGTATAGAAAGAAAAAAGGACACCAACTTGCTAAATTATCAGATTCAAAAGGCCTAGAGTATCAAGAAATCACCCAAATGACCAGAGCTTGATGGATGAAGTCAAAGCTCAACTACCAAACCACAGAGATATTTTCTGATAATTACAGCAAATTAAAGTAGGTCCAAGGCAAACAGAAACGGATGTCGATCTATTTTTCGTGCAAGATAAAAAATAAGCCAGAGCAATCCCAAATTGTGCATATCTTAACAGAGATCACCTTTCCTCAAAAGTAGCTCCTTTTATCCTGGCTTCTTTATTTAGTTCAAAGGTACTGACATTCACCAAAGTGTAACACCTCAGGATATCATTAACCCTTCCAGGTCTCTCTTCTTCCACTATCCTCTCCATGTTTGGTCATCAAGTTCTATCTTCTACTTCTTCTTTTTTTAATGACATCTTTGATATTTTTCTCTTTTGTTTCCCATTAGAACTCCCTTGGTACAAACTGCTACCTCTTTAGGCCTAGAAACAGAATAGTTTCCTAATCTGTTTTATTATTCTCCCTGTCAACAATTCCTGTATATTATTAATGACTTATTCTGCTTAAAATGATGGTTTTGTGAAATCATTGCTTTGCTCAATTAATTTTTCCTGTCTCTTTCCCACTACTTCCTAATCTGAAGCATCAACTCCAGCCAAACTGTACATGCTTGGTTCTGAGCAGTCCATGCCTTTCTTTGTTTATGTGGTTTCCCCTTAAAGAATTCTCTCCTTGCTCTCTGCCTATTTAAATTCTGTTCACACTGCAAGTCCCGGCTTAATACTGGGAAGCCTTTACTTTCTTTCTTTTATTATTTATTCTACTCACCTTGTTCCCCATCAAATACGACCCCTTGTTACTGTTCTTGACTTAATGCTTTTGGTAAAGTATTCTTGGACTTACGTGTAAATATGGGTGAGAAATGGCAAAGATTTCAGGTCTTATATTAATGCCCAGCGTTTGACAATGGCTGCCTACAGAGCTCTATTGAGAAGAACTCAGGGCTCACTGGGAATGATGATCACAGTACAAAATCAGTGACAAATGTCTGCCCTGGACAGAGAGTGGTAAAATGTAGCTGGTGTGCTAATCCATACTTATCCACGCTACTTAAAGCTTCTGAGATGTTCTTGTTTTAAAAGTGAGGGCTTGGGATCAGATAATCTGTACATTCTTTCCAATTAAGACACTGTTCAGTGGAATAATGGGGTGAAAAGCTGTGCCAGGTTACGAAGGAAGCAGATACACGAAAGGAAGTGAGAACACGAAAATAACTATGAAAACAAAAGAGAAATATAACAGAAAGAGGTGGCATGCTTAGATCAAAAGCTCTTTTAAAAAACTGGAACACAAGTACACAAAAGGGAAAAAGAAAAGTATTTTCAGTAGCTAAATAATGTCATCAAGGATTCAGATTGCTTCTTCCCACCTTTCCTTCCTACCATGTTCAGTGGGTCCTTCCCAGACTAACTCCCCTCCTGGTTCCAACAGAGCTGCCACAGGTGCAGGCATCAACAGGCATCCAGGACAATAACTGGAAGGAATGTTTTGTATCATGTAAGATAATACTGACGTAGGACCGACAGACAATCTAGCTTATAAACAGATGACATAAAATTACGGTATCAATAAAGACAGCACAGTACTGTAAATGTATTTTTCCTTTCTTATGATTTTCTTAACAATATTTTCTTTTTACCAGCTTACTTTATTGTAAGAATACAGTATATAATGCCTATAAAATCCAGAGGTATGTTAATTGACTGTTTATGTTATTGTTAAGGTTTCTGGTCAACAGCAGGCTATTAGTAGTTAAGTTTTTAGGGAGTCAAAAGTGATAAGCAGATTTTCAACTGTGCAAGGGGACAGCACCCCTAATGCCTGCCTTGTTCAAGGGTCAACTGGACTTCAAAATGTAGCCACTTCCGTCTGCAAATCTTTTCTTCCCAACTATCCTTTCATGCCGGGGGTTGTGGGTAAAGGCAATGGGTGGTAACACATTAATTGATCACCCCGTCTTGGCTCATAATACAGTTCCAGGGCCAATGAGAGCTGCAGGCGGGAGTGGCTGGCGTGAGATGGACAAGATGAGAGGGGAGAAAGCCCCTTTTCTTCCTTTACCCTACTTGCGCCAACTCTGCTATCCTCTGGGTGAAGGAAGAAGAGAAGGAAAAGAAGAGGTTTTAAAATATGAGTATTGCCTGCCTACTCTATGCTTGAGTCTGTGGTAAACATACTTTCTTTCATTTTAATGATAAGGACAGCTAGCTCTTCTTTCATAGCCTTCCATTTAAGCTGGGACCCCCAGACTCAAAGTCTAGCTGAACCACTTGCTGTTCATTTGTGCATGGATTTTCCAGGCTGGCAAGAATGCTTTTCTAGAACTTCCCTGGGACTGAATCTACTCCCACAATCCTAAATGACCCTAAAAACATTGTCTTGCCTTTTCATTTACTATGACCCTCTTTCTACTCATTCACCTTATTTTTAGATCATTTCCATGTAGATAAGAAAGTGGCTACTGACGTGATACATCTGAATTTATTCTATAATAAGTAAATAGAATAAACATACTGTACAATAAAAGTAATCTTCCCAAGACATCTGCTTTCCCTTCTCTTGAACATTCTATTCAAATCACAAGAAAATACATCATCTACACTAATTTCAAATAGTCCTTTTGTGGTCTTATTTGGAATTTAAACATTTCCTGTTATGGGTGTCAAATAGAAAATCTCGTTCTCTATCCACCTACTCCATCCTTTTGACTATTCTTCCTTTTAACTATGAAACAAAACATGTCGACGACATCTTTCTACTAGTACCTGAATAATGCCAATAGTCTAAACAGACTAGTAGGAAGAAATAGGTTATAGAAACTGGGAGGGAAAAAGGAGCTTAATGGAACCTGCTGTATCTCACTAAGTGCAAATATATATTTCATTCAGATTTATTTGGAAATCTAATTTGTTTTTCCACAAAGTAATCCAAGTGCCCATCTCTGAATGAGAAGTAACAGGACTGTAAAGGGTCCTAGTGATCTTGTACTTGCAAAGAGAGAAGCACATAGCAACTCAGCCTCTTTGGGAAAGGGTCACACTCATCAAACAAAAAGTGTTTGATGCCAAGCCTGTACCTGCTACCAGAGGCTCCTTCCTGGAGGAGTTTACTCCCACAGTGGAAAGCCCATGTTTAAGAAACCTTATGAAGGCACAACCCCTGAAACCACACATGTGCCTGAATATATACAAAGGGCAGAATTTTAAAAGAAAAGTGATCACTTTAATTGCTGGTAATAGCTCTACGCTTCTTCTCTGGAGAAACGCTAGGTTTACTCTTTCAAAACATTGTGTGAACACCGGTCCTACCCGGTTTTGCTCAGTGGATAGAGCATCAGCCCACAGACTGAAGAGTCTCAGGTTTGATTCCACTCAAGGGCACATACCTTGGTTGCAGGCTCAATCCTTAGTCCTGGTCAGGGTGTGTGCGTGAAGCAACCAATTGATGTGTCTCTCTTACATCAATGTTTCTCTCTCTCTCTCTCTCTCTCTCTCTCTCTCTCTCTCTCAAGATCAATGGAAAAATATCCTCAGGTGAGGATTAACAAAAAAAAAAACCCAACAACAACAAAACATCACGTGTGAACAAAAAAATTAAGTCATAAATATTTAAATAATGTCTCTAGGCCAACCTTAGATTATAAAGGTCCAAGGTTAATCTGGCAGATCCTGACAATCTTGACCACCCCTCATTCCCTAGTGGCCTTCTTCTTCTTCTTTTTTTTTTCTCTCCCTGGTGGGCTTCTTTAAAACAATATTTTTAAAGGCTCTGGACAGACCTGTGTGAAGCCAAATAGATTCCCAGCCCCCCTCTTCACGAATGTTCAGAAAGATGCTAAATCAGAGATGTTTGTTTCTGATCACCAAGTACCATTTCCCTCCTGGGAGTCTATTAGCTGCTCTGGATTTGTAATTTCCTTGAAGCACTGTCACTTTTAATAGGTATGTGTCTTGCCAGCGCGTGCACCCTTCATTCTGACAGTGACGGAAAGCTCGCTAATGAAGCGGTCTGACCAGGTTCTTTCTAAAAGTGTGAGGAAAGGGAAAACTGCGTTTAAAAGGCTGTATATGATACATAATGTAGTTCACTAAATAAGAAACGCAGGAATTGTCGTTTTTGCTCTGATCGTTCTAAAAACTGCTACTGCTAAAGGGGCTTTCCACACGCGCTTTACCCTTTGCGCTTCACTCACCTGTCAGGATGGATGGAAGAGAGCACAAAGACCAGGAGGACGACATCCAGGATCCCGTCCGGGAACGGGTAGGGCAGGCCATCTTCGCACACATCGTGAACAAAGGCGCAGCACTGGGCTGCTCTGTAGGTTGGGTGCGACTGTCAGGATAAAGAAACAAAAAGTGGGGGGGGCAGTTAGCAGACTTACAGTATTTTTCTTAAAGTAAAAAGGTCAACGTTTTTACTTCTCCCTAGTGCCGTTTTCTATACATTTGGATGCATTTTATTTCTGATTCAGCATTTTATTTCAAAAGCAGCCATAAAAATTAAGTCTACCACTTGTAGTTGATAACAAATATTCTTTGCAATCCCTCTTTAATTTTAAAAGTGGGGTGGGGAGGTCCTATGAGTCCATAGGCAGCGTTCCTGGAAGACTCCCCATGGCTATTTCAGAGGCACAGGGCTGCTCCTCAGATCTCCCCCATTGCTTGTGCAGGCCTCCATGAGCTGTATTAAAAAGGTTGCATTAGAGCACACACACACTCACACACACACACACTCTCTCTCTCACTCACACACACACACTCACACACACACACACACACACTCACACACTCACACATACTCACACACACACACACACACACAATTCACCTACAGAAACAACACTACAAGGATACATACAAAAATATTAATAACACTGATTTATCCTAGGGCTCTAGGTAGTGTAATTGTAAGTGCACTTCAGGCTTTTCAATATTTTAGAAAATGTCTACAATGAGTAATTATTACTCCTATTATTGGAAATTAGGTTCCATGTGTTTACTATACATTTTTGCTTGTAGAATTTCCTTTTCCATTTCCTAACATTGCCTCTTCTTGCGAAGGATCCGTTCACTAGCATTTGGGGGCTGGTCAAGTAAGCCCAGGTTCCCCACTGTTTTCCTTACCTCCTAGGATGTTTTAGATTTGCATCATATGCCTTTTCAGACAAGCCCCTCCCCCCATTTTTTTTTAATTTAATGAATGCCTACTATGTGCCAGGCTGTGTGTAAGGCTTTATACACATGAACAAGACCACCTTGTAGGAGCTGTTGGCCTTTCTAGGTGTACCAGTCCCTTCAACTCTACGTTAAATTCAAAACAACTTTTATTGTTTTAGGGTCCTAACTTTGGCATCTGTTGATGGTATGAGTCCCAGAAATAGTAAAAGCTCAGTTAAAAATGGCCACAGATGACATCTGACGCAGAAACATTCCCTCCCCTGGCCCAAACCACTTCCACAGCAAATAAGTCAGGCTCTTCCTAGGATCTGGCTCTCCTTACAGAAAGCCCACGGCATACCTTTACTAGCTCCACAGCTCCAGAGGCGAAATCGCAGCAATAAAGGAAGGACTCTGGAGCATTCCTGTGGAAATGAAAGAAGTGCTTAAATCTAGAATCCGGATATGCTCCGACTGCAGAAGAAAAAAACTAGGTCTGAACTAATGAACAAGTACTTCCTCAATAGAATTTTGGATGATACTTGGCTTGCCATTTCGTCTTTGTAGATACTGTTCTCAATAGTGGTTTGTGGGTGGCCCTCCTGTTGCCTCTGAACCAACATTGTCTCAAACACTTATTAATTACAGGGTTCACTTCATATTCCTGTCCTGGTTTTAAGGCTATCACTAAGGCCTACCTCCCCCAAACCACACTCTCACACGGAAAACCTCCAAGCTCATCCATCAGCATTGGTCAGCCTCCTCCTGCCCCTCACAGGCACTCTGTCCTCTCAGCCCGTGGGAAGCCGCCCCTTGTCTTCTCTAGCAGAGAGGTGTGGACAAGGAGCCCGGAAGGCTGGTGACCTTTGAGCCCTGGCAAAGGTCAGGGCTAGGCACCCACTGTTTAGTCCAGACAATGGTCGCTGAACAACTTCCCCACCAGACAGTCATGTAAATCCTCACTGAAAAGATAGTCTGTCTGTTACTGGAACTTGCCTGCCTAAGGGCTATGGGTGGATCCCAAACTGAATATGAGGATGGCAAGGCCTGAGCACATGGGAACCCATCCTCTTGGGATGGGCTCTCGCCTGGCCCCCCAATTTCCAAATTATTTCTTGTCTCGTCTCTTTCATTTGCGTGCGGCCTCTCTTCCAGATCCTGAACCCTGAACCATGCGGGACTTGGGGGAACATTCACATCAGCCCCTAGCAGCACGGTCTATAGCAGTGGTTCTCAACCTTCCTAAAGCCTCGACCCTTTAATACACAGTTCCTCATGTTGTGGTGACCCCCAACCATAAAATTATTTTCGTTGCTACTTCATAACTGTAATTTTGCAACTGTAAACAATATGTAATTATATATGTTTTTTCCGATGGTCTTAGGCGACTCCTGTGAAAGGGTCGTTTGACCCCCCAAAAGGGGTCGCGACCCACAGGTTGAGAACCGCTGGTCTATAGCTACTATTAGCTTAGGCAACTTCTACCCTTCAACCCGGACACAGGCCCCTGTGTCCCTTCAGTGGTGCTTGGTTCTCCTTCCTGTGTGTACAACTCATTTGGCTCCTGGGCCTCTGATGCCGTGAAGGGGCGAGAACACACACATACACACACAGCTTGTAAATACAATTTCTAAAGACTAAAACACTACTATATTAATTCTTAGTTATCTTTTCAAGTTATTGTCAAACTTTTATTGAGACTCATATATGTACCAAGCATTAGAGTACAAAGTAGTAATGAAGTTGTGTAAGAAGAGTATGGATTTTAGAATCAAATAGACCTGTATTTAAATCCTGGATCTGCCACTTATTGTGAATTTGATTTAATTTCTTCAAGACTCAGTTGGTTTATTTACAAAATGTAAATAAAGCACATAAATTTAGGTGTGTTTTTTTTTTTCTGGGGTGTGGTGTGGTGGAGAGGTTGACACATGAAAATCTTGACTAATTTTAATTGGCCTCCACTGAACTCAGACAAGTTCTATTTGGCCTTTATCTGAAATTCATTTAACAATGGCTGGACGATAGTTGTTCATGGGCAGCTGTATACTTTGAATTCTGTGGGCCAGTATCTTTCCTTATCATCTCTCATATGCTAGGATCAAATAATCCTTGCATCATGTTGCTTAGTCCATGCTTCAATCACAGAAAGGGATCAGTATGCCATTAAATTTTAATTATCAGAATGGTCCTGGCTGTTGTGGGTTTTATAGCCTATGTAGGGACATAACTGGTTTTATACAACTACTAAAGGGGTGTTGCCAGGGCAGGCTTCTGGAGGTTTAAGTCTTAGGAATTTTTGTTGTTGTCGTTAATCCTCACCCTAAGATATTTTTTCCATTGCTTTTTAGAGAGGGAGGGAGTGAGGGAAGGAGGGAGGGAGGGACATATACACATCAATGTGAGAGAAACTCATCGATTGGTTGCCTCCCATGCGCACCCTGACTGGGGCTGGGGATTGAACCTGCAACCCTTTGGTGTGCTGGCGATGCTCTAACCACTGATCAATGCCGGCCAGGGCAGTCTTAATATTTTGAAGGAGAGGATAGCATTGCTAAGCGGGTAGAAGGGGAAACAGTACAAGGGTTTAGAGGTGGGAGTCACACACCAGGGATAAGAAGCAGAATTGATCCCAACAGCCCCAAATGGTATGAGGTAGGATATTCAGGTGGGTCTTGAAGCACATAATTAGAACTTTTTTTTTAAGTATATTTTTGTTGATTTCAGAGAGGAAAGGAGAGAAAGAGAGATAGAAACATCAATGATGAGTGAGAATCATTGACTGACTGCCTCCTGCACGTCCCCCACTGGGGATAGAGCCCACAACCCAGGCATGTGCCCTTGACCGGAATCGAACCTGGGACCCTTCAGTCCACAGGCCAACAAGAACTTCTAATTTGATTCAGGAAGCATTTCAAGCAAGGAGGACTTTTAAATAAATATGGACTCTAAACACAAATATGCATTTAGCCAAATATCACCCAGGCTTAGATTATATTCTTTTTTTTCTCAATATATTTTTATTGATTTCAGAGCGGAAGGGAGAGGGAGAGATAGAAATATCAATGATATTTCTAGTGGGATTGAGCCCATAACCCAGGCATGTGCCCTGACTAGGAAACAAATTGTGACCTCCTGGTTCATATGTTAACGCTCAACCACTGAGCCACGCCAGCCAGGCTTAGATTATATTCTTAAATGCTACCCATTGATGAACACTATAGTCACGCATAGTCAGTCATTTGTTTTGTGGCACTAGGGATTGACACTTGGTTTTAAGATCTGTCCAAATAAGTTCAAGTTGGATCAATAGAATTTGGTTATGAAAAGTTAACTGGTACTAAATCATCTCTCAGTAACTGTTTTCTCATCTTTAAAACAGAGATAAATATGGCATCTAAAGTGGTTGTAAAGATTAATGGGTTCGTGTAAGTACAGTTTCTAGAAAGGTGTCTAATTCAGAGTAAGCACCTAATAAATATTAGTCATTATTAAGTTACTGCTGTTGCTATTATTTATTATCATTACCATATTTTTAAAGGAAGATCTCCCTGTGCCTTCTAGGAACTTAAAAACTTAAGAACTTAACAGGGTTCTGTAAAAATTTCCATTTAACTCAAAATGCTTCTCTGGACACTGGCATGTCTAGCTCATTATGAAGGGAATGCAGTCTACCTTTGGGCAGTAGTTACTAAACATCCACACGATACAGAATGGTCTAGTGGCTACAGGAGAGCATGGGCCGTTTGCCACGTGTCCTGCCAGGGTGGCAGCATGACCTCTGAGACTGAATTCCCGCTGCATCAGCAGCCAACGTTAAGGTCTTGTGACCACTCACTGACTTTCCAGAGCATTTCTGTGAAATCAGCTGACTGCCCTGGCCCTTCTCCCAGCAAGTAGGTGTAATATCACTGCTACTGCCACTCCACCAAGCACTCTCTTGGCAGGGGCTTACGAAATAAACGATCCTTGGAGAATGATATGACTTCCCAATTCCAAAGGTCTAATTATAGTAAAATATTCTGAAAATGTAAAACATTAACCCTATACTCTCAAAAAGTAATAAAACATAATTTCTTAGGTGGGGAAAAAGAAGTCTAATGGAAAGTTAATCACTGGTTGCCTTTTAAAGATGCATTCATTAGCTCAGATTACTGAGCTACAGTGATTTCTAAAATGTGGATACAAGGCAAAATAAAGATACAAGATGAGAAGAGCCCAAGAGTGAGGAAGCAAGAGCCTGCAATTATCAGTCGAAGGGAGAAGTAGAAAGGGAAAAATACAACAAGAGGGGAATCCGAGATATTAATGAATCAATAGGTACTGAGCTCAAACCATCTATATTGTACTCTTAGGCTATCTGGAAAATCAGATTAGGGTAAATAAAATATGCTCTCTCCCCCAAGGAATATAAACAGTGGCTGGAGAGAGAAGACATAAAGAAATGACATGCTAAATAATACCTTGAGATGAGTCATAAAGTAACACATAATCGACTGCCAATGCCGTAGATTTATGTGTATTATAAGCTTGGAGATCACTGAAGTGAAGGAACCTGGCTATGTGCTATAAAAGAACAGGAAATTTCTGCCCAGATATTGGAAAAGGGAAAACAAAGGAAATAAGTACAAAGAGAGAAAGGCCATTCAGAACTGCAAATCTGCCAGCATCATTTCTCCTTGGCCACTTTAACTGGTGATTTGATGCTATTAGGGGATTACTAGTCATTATGTTAGGTTTGTAATAGTACTTGAAAATGCCCTGATTTTCTGGAAATACATAATAAGTCATGTCATATTTAAAGATAAAGTGTCATAATATTGGCATTATATTAATAATTGTTGAATCCAGGTGGTGGGTATGTGGGGATTCATTGTGTACTCTATTTTTCTGAATGCTTTTACATTTTCATAATGAAAATTTAAAAAATAGCATCGTTAGATTTAAAAAATATGCATGGAGAAAAGATTGAAAAGAATTACAACAAAAATTCTGTCAGCAGCTATGTTAGGATAATGAGGATGATGGGTAACCCACCCCCACCCTCACCCCCAAGCCCTGTTTCCTCTAATGGAAGTGTTCTGGAATGTGCTTATGTTGACTTTATAATGGAAAAAGAATGGAAAAGCCATTGTGTAAATGTAAAAAAATTAAAAAAGTAACTTGGCAGACCAGCCACATGTAAAAGGTGGTCAAGAATGTTGGCAGGTGTGTCTTCTTTGTCATGGAAATAGTAAAACATAGAGGTGAGGTGGGGAACAGGGAAGGACCAGCCAGGAAAACATCTCAGTCCTTATCATCGACGTCTTTTAGTCTTAAGGTTAGTTGCTGTTACCTCCAAACAAGTCTAGAGACAATCATTTGACATCCAAAGGTTTTATCCTGGGAGTGGCTCTGGTAGTCATGACAAAATAAAATGAGGATTAAAGCATAAGTTTTAAACTCAAGTCTCTGTGTGTAAAATGACACCTATGTATCCTCGAGGGGCAATTCACAGCTTAGTGGAAGGATCAACTCCCTTGCTCTTTTCTTACTCATCCATACAAACAAGCTTAAAAAATACTTCAGTGCATGGTGGACAACCCATGGCTGTGAAATACTCTTTTCAGAGTAAACTTGAAATTAGGCTCTAAGACCAAGGCACTGCTTTTGAAATTTGCCTTAGTCATTTTTCATATGGGAACAAGAACACTACTGGCATATACTTGATAATATTTCCCCAGAATTTCTCAATATCCCCATACATATATAAAAATTTATAGAAGTGAACTCACTGCAAAGTGTTCAGAATTGGAAAAACACTATTTCCAGCACCACAGCCAACCTGAAATCAAAAGAACAAACAAATACCATGAAAGCAAGGTGGAATTTTTCTCACCAATGTTGGATTTTTAATTAAAAAAACAAAACAAAACTAGAAGAAATGTACTGGACCTCCAGGAATAAGAGAGTTTTCTAAACTCAAAAGCAATGGAATAAAGCACAAAAATAATACTAAGAAATTTAACTATGGAAACATTTAAAGTTTTTATACACCAAAACCTAAATAAACTGAGTTAAAAGATGACCAAAACACTGTGGAAAAACAAAACAAAACCCATTTGCAATAAATATGATAAAGGGCAGGGCTCATTAAAAACAAACAAACAAATAAAACCTATAGGTAAATAAGCAAAGAAAATAAAAAGAACACAAAAGAAGTACAAATGGCTTCTAAGCATTTGAAGAACTATATGTATCATTTAATAATCAAAGAAATGCAAATTAAACAAGGTATACTTTTTGTCTTATAAAGCAGAAAGCATGAAAATAAGAAATTCTAATCAATGAGGATGTGATGAAATAGACACACAGTGCCATGAACTGGTATTAGTACAACTTCTTAGGAAGCAATTTGGCAATATATCTTAAGAGTATTAAACATTTTAATAAACTATGAACTAGTAAACCTAATCCAAGAATATAAAAGAAAATAAAGAAAAGTCTATTTCCAAAGATGTTTGTTGTAGAAACCTGAAAACAATTTAAATACTTAGTAGTGTGAAAAAGATAAGTAGAATTATAGTACTCCATATAGTAAAATATTTTGTAGCTATGAAAATGTTTATAGAAAAATTTTAAAGATAGGGAAAACAGCTTATGATATAATGTTAAATAGAAACAAAGCAAGACTCCAAAATACAGCTATAGTATAGCTCAACTATATAAAACAGTATAAACAAAAGGAGAAAATGTCAGTAAAATGTTCACAGGAAGATTATAATTTTATTTCTCTTACCTACTCTTTTTTTTATTTTTTAAATTTCTTTATTGATTAAGGTATTACGTATGTGTCCTTATCCCTCTCTTATCTACTCTTTAGCAGATTCTCTGTAATTAATATATTCTACCTTTATAATCAGAAGGAAAATGTGTATTCTTAAAAGTAGAAAATCAAGGCCTATACACCAGACTAGCAAATTATATTTCACATTTCTGTTCCACCTGAAAATAAATAATAACAATAAGAGATAGAAATTAAGGCCAAAACTTTACTGGTATTTAAAACTGCTCTCAAGTTGGAAATTAAAACAGATAAATTTTTAAAAATTTTAAATCACAATCATTTTCCCCTTAAAAAAATCTGGATAGTTAATAAAGTAATATGGAATGTACATTTTAAAATGGCTGCCACGCCCCATGTCGCCCTGCAGTGCAGTACCTCTAGGATTCTGAAAGTGGCTTTGCTACCAGGAAAGAGGTCCGCCGTCAGAGGTCCTCTTCTGTGCTCTTCAGCGTGGAGGTTGGCAAAGCCAGATTGTGTTTTGCTTTGACCATCTGATGAACCAGAACTTTCCTGACAATAATTCTCTTCTTCAGGCACAATAGGACAGTGCTTTCTTGAGAAACAATTTGCAGCATTAGTTTTTACATAATCCCATGATAATTCTTTTGCCTCCTCTTCAGTTTTCTGATCAAGTGGAAGAATTTCAGGAAATTCCCTCAGCAGCCAATTACGGTCCTTGAAAAACTTATTCTTATGAATCTTGTAAAATGCGTCCCAGTATTTATTAGCTTCCCTCTCATACTTAACTAAAATAAAGAAGAAAAAAAATTACTTAGCTATGATTTACATTAACTATTAGTTATCTTAATAACTAAATATGTTTAATAGTTAAATCTGTTAATGTATTATATATTATTTATCATTTATAACAAGTATAATTAGTATTGAATAACTTTAACATTATAATTATTTGATTTTTTTAACTCTTACAGGTTAAAACTACAGAGTATTGATTCTCTGAAAATGTGTCAATGTGTGGGGTATTCAGTTCATCTGCTTCCATCTCAATAGTTTGGCCAGTAAGTTTTTGTGAGGAATATAATCATTGCAAACTGCTTTCTACAGTGTAATCTTGAAATCTTAATAATCACATTTTTACCGATCTATAATAATAAAAGCATAATATGCAAATCGACCAAACAGCAGAATGATCGTCTGGATGGCCTTCCAGACGACCACACTATGACATGCACTGGCGCCAGGCCAGCCAAGGCGGGTGCAATGCAATTAATTGGTCAGGGGGCCCCGCCATCACCCCATGATCACCCCACAGAGGGAGGCCCAGGCCACCAGCCAGTGAAGCTGCGGCGGGTGTGTGGGGCTGGCCAGTGATTGCCCCGCAGAGGGAGACCCAGGCTAGCCAAGTGATTGTACCCCATGCCTGTCACCTGCAGAGGAAGGCAACCAGTGGAGGGGGAAGGGCAGGCAGCGCTGCACAGATGGCAAGCAGTGGCAGTGGCAGGGACCAGGCCAGCTGCTGGTAGCTGGGGGAAGGCAAGCCCTGATAGGCCCTGATCGCCAGCCAGGCCCAGGGACCAGGCCGGGCTGAGGGACACCCCCTCATCCCCATGCACGAATTTTGTACATCGGGCCTCTAGTCTATATATATAAAAGCCTAAGCAACCATTAGGACCAGACGATTGGATGACCGGCTGGTAGCTATCAAGTGCACTGACCACCAGGGGGAAGATGCTCAATGCAGGAGCTGCCCCCTGGTGGTCAGTGAGCTCCCACAGCCCACCTCCCACAGCCGGCCAACCTCCCACGGTCCTTCCGGCTGGCCCTGATCGGCCGGGAGGGACCCCACCCGTGCACGAATTTGTGCACTGGGCCTCTAGTAACCTATAAGGCTCTTTATTATTTTAGAGAAAGAACACCTTATTTTTTATTTGTGTGAAAGCAGTTTCAACATGGTATCTATGTAAATTGGTAATCAGATGGTATTATAAATGACATAATCTTGGAGATAGAATGGTACATTGAAATAATCTACTCTGACCCCTCTGTTTTGCATTGGAAGAAAGACAGCACAGAATAGATGAACCCAGTTATTCCAGGGCCTAGAGTTCCATCACAGCAGAATAGGGCTGACTCCTAGAATCTAGGGGCCATCTCATAACTCCATTCTTCCCCCACTTCCAGAGGCATCTCTTCTTACTGACATCTCCTAATATGAAGCCTTAAAGAGAACTTCTGAGGCCTTTCTAAAAGAGATATGCATTTTGTGATATCATACCTTAGATTTCACTGGATCCTAGGGTCAGGGTTTGGTCAAGAGTCTCAAAATTTTAGGGAATTCTTAGCTTCCTGCCTCTTTCTATCTGTACCTTAAGTTAATAAACTAATATACTTCTTCTCTCCCTCTCCCATTCATTCAACAAACTTTTTTTGGATACTATTACTATTATACTACTCCTTAGGTCTAATCCATGGGTTAAGAATTATTTTCACCCAATGTAGACACATGATATTTTAAAAGTGCTTTCAAAGAATAAAAAACCTATTGATCTGGAATAATTTCCAAGATTCAATGTTGGGTGAAAAGCAAAGTGTAGAACAATATGTTAGCATGCAACCATTGGTTAGAAAAAAAAGAGAAAAAGAATACATGTGTGTGTATACACAGAAACATACATGCATGTATATATACATATATACTTATATATATGTACAGAATAGCTCTGGAAGGATAGTCTTTAATTAGTAATACTGGTTGCCTCAAAAGAGAGGAACTTAGTGGTTTGAGAATTTTCATTTGAATTTTAATCTGTGAAATTACTATATACCAAAAATAAATTAAACTCATCTAAAAATAAAAATAACAGACTCATTTTTTCCATAGTTTTAAAGAAGCCCCTGCCCTTAGAACAAGCAGTGCCTATAGTGAGGTTTGTCTTTGTTACAGAGCCCTGGCCTGAAGCCCTTATAGTTTTTCTTTTCTTTCCATTTTTATCTTTATGGCCTTGCACCATGGATCTCCACCCATTTGGCCACAAGACTTTCTTCCCATCAAGCCTGAACTGTATCTGGCAGCAGGACTGCTATAAAGACAGAAACTCCCATCTGTATTTAAGGCCTGAGAAATGAAAGCAGATCTCTGTAACAAAAGAATTATGTGATGTTGAAGTCCAAGACATGCTCACATCCACACTAATGGAAGGAAGCCTACTTATGATTAATCTAAACATGCTACATTTTATCTTTACAATAGTCCTATCTCTACTTTTAAAAATTGGAGTGTATACAAAGAAAACAAAACAACATTCTGCAAATCAGATTCAGGAGGAATTAGGAAACTGTCTAATTTCCCCAGGGTCTTCTTGCATCTTGCCTTCTTCCTTTTATCTTAAAAATCTTCTTTGTAACTCACTCTATGCTGGTAGAAGGTTTTTCTGCTTAATAAAAAGCAACCACCTAACAAGACCTACATTTAGTCAAATCTCTAGTATCTGCGTTTCCAATACCAAGCTACTTGTGAAGTGATTTTGAACCTAACTATCAGTAAATAGAATATAATAGTACACCGTGATTAATTTGCAGACTATTCCCCTAGGAATTAATTGGTGGTATGGAGGTAGACACCTGGGGAGTAACTTGAAAGAAAAGATATTCATAGCAGTGCTATTTGTAAGAGGAAAAACTGGGAAATAACTCAAATACCCAACAAACCATAACCAAGCAAACCATGCAGATCAAAACAGAGTAACCTTACATAGCAATGAAAATGAAAAGGATAATATAAGAGAAAACATTCACATAGGATCGTCTATACACTGACTGCAACTCAAAAAAATTATTTTACATTCATTTATCAAAATCTGGTGAAAATTTGGAGTGATGCTAACAATTTAGTGGTTATTATGTAGTTCTTTCTTTTGCAGTTTTGTCTACATCTTACACAAAGATAAAGAATCTTAGCTGATTCTTCCTTCAACTTGCCTACACAGTTTCCTCATTTGATGAGAGGTTGAATGTACTCCATGTTCAAGCTCTAAAAAGTCTATGTACTTTCCTATTAAACCCCACGAACTTATGGAGAATATTAGACATGATCGGTTCTACAAACTACAAAATCTTGGATAAGACTGCTGTCATAAAAACGAGCCTGTATTACTATTTTAATTTCTACGATTTATAAAGAAAATGAATCTGCAGTAGATGACAGGAATCTGATTCATGTACCAAATATATCAAGCATCTAAATTCAGCCCTGGCCTAGGAAATCTTTAGAAAGGATCTGAATACTATTAGAAGAAGATGGTCAAGGTCTGTGTATATACTTTCAAGCCTTTTTCAAGTATTTCCTAATTTCCAAAATTATGAGAAAAAGAACCCCAAACAATGACATAAATCATTATACCAATAACAACATCATTAAAAATAACAACAATTACACATACTAAGTATTGATTATGTGCTAGGCACTATGTCAAATACTTTACTTGGCTTTTTCTTCCCATTTAATCTTAATAACAAATAGACATATTATTCAAATAGACGTATTGTTCCAAATTATGAAGAAATTCAAGGTCAGAAGAGATAAAATTTCCCAAGGTCCACCAGAGCTTGGACTTGGACCAAGTCTATCAAACTTTAAAGCTCATGCTCTTAACACCATTACACTACACTGCCTTCCTAACAGAAAATCAATAGTAGCCCCTCCAAAATACCTCTGAAAATAATCTGTTTTTCTTTTTTCTTTCCAGGTTTCTGCTGATACTTTATTTTTTTATTTTTGTGTTCAACACTATTTTGTATTAGTTTCAGGTGTACAGCATAGTGGATGGACATTCATGTAGGTTCCAAAGTGTTCCCTCTGATAATCAAGTGCCCACCTGGCACCACAGACAGTTAGTACAATATCGTGTACTCTATTCCCTATGCTTCACCTTACATCCCTGTGACTATTCCGAAGCTATCAATGTGCACTTTTTAATCCCATTATCTTATTTCACCCTCACCCACTGCACCCTGCCCCTCGGGTCTCCATCAGTTTGTTTTTGTATGTGTAAGTCTGTTTCAATTTTGTTTATTTGTTTACTTTGTTCTTTAGATTCCTCATATATAAGTGATATCATATGGTATTTGTCTTTGTCTGGTTTATTGCACTTAGCATAATACCCACTGTGTCCATCCATGCTGTTGCAAATTAATCTGTGTTGTTGTTTTTTCTGTACTTTCTTCTCATTATGAAACACCAAGTTAAAATGAAAACCTCAGCATGACTTAAAATCAGTAAAACTAAGTTGTAAAAATAATGCTGATTGGAGTAAACCTTCATAAAAACAGGTCAGTAATACAGAATTAAACTCCATTTAAATTATATAAAATATCAATTATGTATGCAAATATATGGTGAAATTAGGGTGAGCAATGGCAACATTAAATGCTCGATGAGAATAGATGGGTTTGTGGCATAGAAACAAAACAGAAATGGCTCTTAGGATAGGATGGGGAAAGGTTAATGGGCTGGAACTCTTTCCTTTTTTTTTTTGCTTTTTAAAGTTGTGTTTTTACTAGTATCTCCAATCAATCCTGGCAACTCCACAGTAATGCGTGACAGCTTCTGAGACCTCACGGGAGCTCAATCAAACTCATAATTATGGTTATGAGACAACATAAACACCTTCAGCATATAATTTAATTTCCTGAACTGCAAGAGTACCTATGATAACAGGGGATTTGGAACAGCTACTTTCTTGACCATGAGTGAAACGTTTAGTTTCAACCTGCTGTTAACTTACCT